AGCAACAAAATAATCTTTTATTAAATCTAAAAATCATGTTACTCATTCTTATAAGTCATATAAATTAAATATAAAATCTACTAAAAAGGTCAATATAAAAATAATGGTTGAAATTTCTAAAACGACTAAGAGGATCATTACAAAAGACCACAAAAAAAGAAAAATTAGAATTTTATGGAACAAAAGCAGATTCCAACAATATCATTAACAAGACGAAACAAAAATAAACAACAAAGAAATGGAGAAAAGGATTTTACAGTGGTCGTTTCTTGATGGTGTGTTGTGATGAAACTGTGAGCTTTAACGGAGCAACGAGCTCGTCGGTGTTCCATTATCTGCCGGAGTAGCGAGGTATGAGATAAGATTTGTGTTTTTGGGTGGAAACAATTAGGGTTACAATTCTTTTGAAAAATATATCTATCACACCTTGTTTCTTGACCTAGTAAATTAAGTACGGAGACATTTTTCAAAATAGCAATATTTTAATTTTTACTAGGGCTCCTAATATATTAAAATCTCATTATTTTAATTTATTAAAGAATTAGATTATTATTTTAAAAAGAATACAAATAATCTGTTAATAGAATAGAAAAAATCATTGAACATAAAAATTTAAAAATATTAATTTGATAAAATACAACTAATTACTAACGAGAAAATCAAGAAAAATAATATTTCAAATAAAGTAATTTAATTTAATTATTGGTGTTTTACAAAAAAATATGATAAAAGAAAAAATGATTTGAGTTTTGAAAAATCAATTAATTTTATGATTTAAGAGAAATCGATAACAGAGTCGCTACTTAATTTTTTTTAGTAAAAATCAAGAAAAAACATATAATTATTTTCAAAGATTTAAACAGATAAAATCAATTGAAAAAGGGTTCGAAGTTCAATTTACACTTCGATAAGGTGTTAGGCCCTCGAAATGTCTGCTAACTCCCGATTGATCGACGATTTCACTAAAAGACCTTTCAAATAATTTCCAAGTTTTAACTAAGTTTTTTATTTTATTTTTTGTTATTTCTTAATTATTTCAAATGGAAATAAACTAAAGGAGGATTTTCTGAGGAAAATAATTCAAAATATCAACAAGGCTAATAATGAAAATAGAGTTAAGAATTAAATAATCAATATTTAATTTTAAATCTAAAACGGGAAATAACTATCTTTAATAGTTAATTAAGTCAAAATTAAAGATTAAATATAATGTTAGTTAACACCGTAACAAATAAATGCTTCTGTATAGAACCCAGGGAGTCCTTCTCTTCCTGAAGAGCTGATGAGCGTGGGATATAGATTAAAGAGGAAAAGGGAGGAAGTATTAAACTTGGGCCTTTGCCCCAAATTCATGTACATGTCCTACTACAAAAAAAAATGTATAACTTACCTAAATCTCATAGTGTAAAACTTAAATAACATTTTATTTCTACTCTTTTTCAATTTACAAAAATTCCTTCAAAGTCAGTGCTATCCAGATACATAGAAAATAATTCAGATTCATTAATTCCAATACATTAAAACAAAATCAGTTACACTTTAAAAGAAAAGAGAGTCAATTTTGAATTTGAGTTCCACAAATCAAGCTAATCAATTTGCTGTCAGTCTTTCTCAAATGGTAACAACTTCAATTAATTTAAAATTTAAATTTTAACTCTCAATTCTCTTCCAAATCCTCCTAGCTTCAAACAATTGAACAAATTCTTCCAGAATCAACAAAATCGAGATTCATTTTTTTTTCTCTCTATTCATCGTCTCATGTTCATTCAAATTAGATCCAGATTTGTCCAAAATTTGATAAGATACATAATGAATAGTTGTTGAAAAATAATTTTATTTTGTGAATCTCAAATACAACATTGTAGTGGATCGATGAGATGAGAAAAACATGAAAATTCGATATATATCAGAAGGAAATCACAAGAAAATGTTGATTTTGCTACTTAGCATACTCTTCATCTTATCTCGATCTTGGCACCACAGTAAGAGATGGTAAAAGAAGTTACTGACCACTTCAATTGGTATTTCAAAATACATTAGTTGATATATCATAAATTTGTTCTTCTCATCCTTTCTAAAAAAAATCTCATTTTTTAATCAAACTTGTTGATAAATTGTATTGATACAACATGAACATGTCCATCTTGTTGAAACATTTTGAAACCTGAGAAAGTGAGATGAGGTATGAATGATACAAAAGTGATGAAATTATGGTTGGTCAAAAAATTAATTTGTGAATCTCAAGTCAACCATTGCATTTGATTAAAGATCGATGAGTTGAGGAAAAACTGGCGATCTAAAACATCGTTTGAGCTGAAGAAATAAGAGTTAGAATTTTCAATGTATCAATTATGGATTGATACAACCAACAGAAAGGCAGAAGAGATGCATAACTTTGATGAATCATTCATACCTTTTATAATGTTGTGTAATTGTTTTTTGAATTTTGTTTCTGAGATGGATAGATATATTAATACATTACTATTTATGTATCTCGTTTAAATTGATAAGTGTTGTATTTTTACCAGATACATTAAATAAGTAATTGTTGTCCATAAGATGTTCGAGATTGATACATTACTTTGTGGTAGTTGCTAAGATACAATTAATAGAAATTCAAATTTACATATCATATAGAAAATTGTATATTTGTTCATACAATAATAGAATGTTGCATATCCGCTACATTATATCATGTATCAATTATATGATTTAGTAGATGTAATACTGTGTTCCATAAAATTGTGTCTCAAACACACAATTGTGCAGTTGTGTTTGATAAAAAAAAAAGTTGTATTTGATATTAACAGTGTTTAAAAGACAGAATGTTGTGTACATAATTCATTATGTTGTGTATTAAATACACAATTTGATATATGTATTAATGCGCTCCATTTTTATTGTATCAGATGCATAGCTGCAAGAACTTCATATTTTGCCTCGAAATAATCAAACTTTTGATAATAACATTTGTGTATCACTGTTTATGAATCTGATACATAATTATGTGACACCTAATGTATCAATGTATCATGTACTGTGTACATATACATATCCTTCTAAATTTAAATAAGATAGAAGATACATAGCAACACCTAGATACATGATGCATATTAAATGATACATTTGGTAGAAATTTTATATCAAGTATCAAAACTAATTAAGTTTATGTATCAAAACTAATATTTCAATGCAATACAATGTGTATGATAAATTATGATGTATCATAGTGATGAAACAAAGACATTATATATTAATTAAGAAACAAAATTGACTAGATACATTAAAAATCTAGTTAATGTATCCCAAATTATAACCATAAAATAGTTTTAATAATTTGAACACAATATGTTGTAAATAATGAAATTATAATGTATTATAATGTTGAAGCAAAGACATTATACATTAATTTAAGAAACAAAAACAATTTGATACATTAAAAATCTGATCTCATATATATCAGAAAAAGATGAACAATAAAAAAAGGACAAAAAATCAACAATCTGATCAATTTTGACTTCTTCTTCTCAGCTATTACTTTGGAATACCAATATACATCAACTTTTCCCTACATTTACTTTAGAAAACGAAGGTACATTCTCCTTCTCAACATTCGCTCTTGTATCTTTTTTTTTACTATGAACATAGACATCACCTATGAATATCGATCAAAAGTCCTTACCAAAGACACTAGTAGATTGACTTTTTAGCTTTGAAAAACAATCTATTTAGACGACGAAGATGCATCTTCCTTTGACTAGTTGAGTAATATCAACACTAAAAGAATGGTCATGTCCATATGAATCAAGAAATAAAGACTAAAAGCAATAAAATTGAAGAAGACGACTTTGAAGGAAACACAGTATATCAATTGAGTAGTTTGAATTTGATTGACTGGAGAGAGAATCCCTTTGAAAATAAAATTGATATGAAAATTCTAACTGACAAGATTGTAGAGAATTCTTTTAAAAATAAAACTGATATGAAAATTGTAACTGATAAGATTATAGAGTAAAATTACAGAGAAAATAAAGGAGTGAAGAAAGGAAGGAAATCACGTGTCAAGGTTGGGATACTTGTGTATCTGCTTGACTTAAAAATTGAGGGAAAGTAAGGAATTTTGGAAATATTTTAAAATGTAGCGAATAAAGGAAATTATCAAAAATAAAGATGTATATATAGGTATTATCCAAAAAAAAAATACCCAAGTAAGAGTTTGGGCCTATTTGATAAAAAAAATCTGCTCTTGGGCCATTCTTTTAAGCCTTTTTGGCCTTCTTTTCACTCTTCAAATGATAGGATATACACCAAGTGTATATATGATAAACACCAAATGCTTAACTCGTTTTGGACTCCTAAATCTGTATTTCAGTTTGCCATTTACATTTTCTGTATTTTTCAACCTGCTTCGCTGTATTTGAACCTGTATAGAGTATTTACTACTGTATATAACTGTATAAACATTTATATCAGTGTATAATACCTCGTTTTCGGCATTTCAGAGCTTGAAATTTTGAATTCCAGCTTTATTTAACCTCCATCAACCTGCTTAACGACTTGCTACCAGCTGACTTGAGACAAATGTTTGGGCTTTTATGGCCCATTAAGAAATGCAATGAGATAGATCATTGAATCCATTGAACTCGATCGAGATTTTATAGGCACACCGAAAAGAAAAAGAAAAAAAAGATAAGGATTAGCAATGGCCTAAATCATATTAAAGGTTCACAAAATAATGAATTTATAGTTCACACTGGCACAAATGTCAAGTTCAAATAAACATAACGATGGAGTACACATTATCCACCAATTTGAACTCAAAATCATCTACAAACATTGTAGTAATCCAAATAAATAAATAAAATGCGTACAAAATTCCCACTACAAACAATAGAGTACAGAAAATTTAAATGGGATCGCACAATAATAGCAACTAACAATAAAGTTACAGAGGCATAAATCTTCAAACAATTTCAAGCATACAGAAAACATTTACAAATTTAGGAGTATGATAACTAGCTATAAACACAACAC